TTTAAAGTTTAAAAAAGCCCGTGCAAGACCATCTAGACGGGCGGCCCTCATAGCCCGCCAAGTCTATTTAAGACGGGCTTTTCATAGCCCGTACGGTTTTTATTCCTGCCGAAGCCTATATATATATATATATATATATATATATATATATATATATATATATATATATATATATATATATATATATATATATATATATATATATATATATATATATATATATATATATATATATAAATATATATATATATATATATATATATATATATATATATATATATATATATATATATATATATAAGCTTACATATTTTAGTTTGCTGAAAGTTATACAAACGGAGAAGTATTGGTGCGAGTCTTTCCACATGTAGAAGTTAATGCAGACAGAAAGAGAGATAAAGGAGGTTTGTGAGATTCTTTAGAGAACTGAAAATGTTTATACTACTTCAATGTTAAATGATATCTATAAAAAAGACAAAAAAAATGATGAAAAATTAAATCAATAGGTCAGAAAAGTTGGCAGAATAGTTTGTGTCGCATTTGAGGAAGTGAAATTGGTCCAAAAACTAGAAAAAATAAAAAAAAAGTTAAATGGGTAATAAAATATATTTTAATTATTTTTTAATAAAAATTTCAAATAGAAAAAAATACTTTAAATATTTAAATAGAAAAATATACATTTAATATTTATTTTTAGATCAAATGTGATATTTGCATCCAAATCGATGGTACCGTATAAGATGCATTGTTTTTAGAAATGAAACTTTATTTTGTTGTGAACATATTTATATATAAATGTAATAATAAATGAATTTTTTAAAATTGCAGTCATTTCTTTTTCTTCAAAATTTTGTCATTAATTGAACCAATTTAAATGGTATGCCCTTACAGATAAAAACACAAATAGGTAAAAAAAAATTTTCCCTAGTTTTAGTGACTTCTTGTATTGTTATAATACTTTAACTTGTCGGAAGCCTTCATAATTCTGCTAATTCATATGTCGGCATACATATTATTTTGTGTAAATCATTGGCATACATATTCGGCATATTTTACATATTTTGGCATAGATTACATGTCAGCACACATATTATTTTGTGTAAATCAACCAAGCCAATTCATATGTCGGCATACATATGAATTGATTGAACAATAATACATTTGTTAGCTCAATTAAATCTAAAAAAAAAAAAAAAAAATGAAAAAAGACTGTTTGAGTAATCTCTGCACATTTTGCAAATAACAGCTAAAATTTTAAACTAAAATATCAAATCTCCCTATGCAGGTTTCTAAAACATTCCCCCATATCACATCCCCCCTATGTATATCTTTAAAATATTACATCCCCTAAGTAATTCATAAATATTTTCAAACGAGTATTAATTGCTATCTTGAATATCACATCCATCACTTGTAAATTATGTTTGTAGCACAAAAAAAAACTAAAATTTTTACTTGAAATATCACATCCCTCCTATGTATACTTCTAAAATATTAGATCCCCCTAAGTATTTTTCTACAATATTTCAAGCAATTCATATTTGGTATTTAAAATATCATATCTCCTCTGTGGAGTCTCTGCATATGTCACAAAAAGAAACTGAAATTCTTACTTAAAACATCACATCCCCTCTATGTTTACCTTTAAAATATTAAATCCCCCTAAGTGATTTACAAACGATTAGTATTTGGTTCCTACAATATTACATTCATTACTTGTAAGTTCTGTATGTACCACAAAAAGAAACTTAAATTCTTACTGAAAATATTACATCCCTTTTAAGTTTACCTATAAAATATTACATCCCACTAAGTAATTCATACAATATTTTAAACAATTAATATTTGCTATGTAAAATATCACATCCCCTCTATGTTTACCTTTAAAATATTACATCCCCCTAAGTAATTCATACAATATTTCAAACGATTAGTAATTGGTATCTAGAATATCACATCTCCTCGGTCTATTCACTGTATATGTCACAAAAAGAACTTGAAGTTCTTACTTAAAATATCACATCCCCCCTATGTATACTTTTAAAATATTACATTCTCCTTAGAAATTCATACAATATTTCAAACGATTAATATTTGCTATTTAAAATATCACATCACCTCTATGTTTACCTTTAAAATATTACATCCCCCTAAGTAATTCATACAATATTTCAAACGATTAGTATTTAGTATCTAGAATATCGCATCCCCTCGGTTTATTCACTGTATATGTCACAAAAAGAAACTGAAATTCTTACTTAAAATATAACATCCCCCCGATGTCTTCTTCTAAAATATTACATCCCCCTAAGTAATTTATAAAGTATTTTAAACAATTAGTATTTGGTATATAGAATACAACATCCACCACTTGTTATTTCTGTATATGTCACAAAAAGAAACTGGAGTTCTTATTTAAAATATCACATCCCCCCTATGCAGGCTTCTAAAATATTGCAAACGATTGTTATTTTTATTACCTAAAGTATTATATCCCTCATGTGTAATCTTTTTCTATACTTTTGTCACACAATACATTACGATCAAAATTTTATAAATAAGAATTAAAAATATATTACCATTTTATGCTAACTTCATTTATAGTATATTAGTAAAAAAACGTTTTTACGAATCTCGTTGCGTTTTAATTAAATCGTTTATAATTGAATGTTTCGGACGTATTTAATACACTTCTAAGTGCAATGACTCGAAAGCGCGTTCTCGTTTTCATTTTTTCTATGGGGGATGTAATATTTTAGGCGGATGTAATATTTTATTACAGAACACTCTCCGATGGAAGAACTTTTGTAAACAACTTTTTTTAAAAGCTTTTCAACACTCACACAACTTTCGCATGATTAGTATAAATTAAGTGCGAACTTTGATCGTATTCTGAGTGATACTTTCTTGCGCTTACCCAAATACACCTCTTGTTGGACCCTGAGATAGTCAAAACTTAAATGTTTTCAGAAAATGATTTTCCACCATTAACTACATCTAACACTATGATGTCTGCTTCCTCTTGTAGAGAAAGACCGACTTTAGATGAAATCAACCAAAAGGTCTTACAAATTCAATATAATATTTGCAGAAGAAATGATGTTGTCAAAGTTGATGAAATTGTGCAAAAACTTTGTGTTTTTTATAATGTTTCCTCTGTTCAAGATTTATGTCCAATTGATGGCAAAAAAATTAGAAAAGAAAATGATATTCGCGCTATAAATGATATTATTAGACTACAACAAAAGGTTAAATTAATTTTTTGATTTTTGTAATTTTTTTTTCATCAAAGAAAATGAAATGAAATATGTCACTTAATATAAAATCAGTCCTGAAAATAAACACTAATCAACAATTAATTATTGTCTACTTTTAGAGAAAATTATGTTATGATCTCTTTATATCAATTATGGCCTATCAGATATGATTGGCAAGAATTGCAAAGTAAACTAAAAATTTAAATACATTTAAAAACACAGTTAAAATTATTAAGTTAAAAACTTAATATTTTTGACTATTAGAATAAAAATAGTTTTAAGACGATAACAATTTTTAGTTTACAATATAAAAAGATTATTATTGAGTATTATTCAATGAATAAGAAAAAATACAGCATCTTAAAAGATACCAAATATTTTATATTAGTGGAATAAATATAGTTTGAAATCATAATTTTTTGTTTTCTGACTTTAAAGTCAAAACAAAAAAAATAGTTAATTAAATTTTTATGAATGAATTGAATTTTTTTGAATAAATAAATATTAATTTTTATGAATGAATTGAATTTTTTTGAATAAAATAAGTTTGAAATAATAACTAGAAATGTTTTCTTTAGAAATCCAAATAATAAATATAGCAATCATTTAATATAAGCAAAATAACTAAATAAATAAGATAACATTTTCTTTTGCTCACTCTTAGATACTTAATAGACAAAAGGAGGAGGGGGGGGGGGGGGTAGAAAGAGTGTTTATTAATTTTTGGTTATTTTTCCCAACCACCCTAAATGTATTGAGACCCACCTGTTTATAAATTTTTACTTGTTATCAGCAAAAAAAACAACATCGAAACTAAAAAAAAAAATCAGAATATATATATATATATATATATATATATATATATATATATATATATATATATATATATATATATATATATATATATATATATACATACTTTGGTTGTTGTTGTGCAAAATGTTATTTATCAGTGGTTTGGATATTAGTACCTGAAACGGATATTATAAATATTTACCTTCTTGATATGTGTTAATTAATTATACCATTACCAATACTAAGTACACCAATACCCTCTTAAAATTAATTACAATCGGTACAAAAATTTAAAATAGTATTGAAAATTAGACTTAAAAATATGTGGAATAATGGACTTATTATGACCCGTATTATGGGTCATGGCGAGTCTATTCCGCACCTACCATTTCTATACTTATTCTTTATATAGTTGTTTCATTTCAATAATTTTTAGCAAGTAGTAGAAAATAAAAATTTGTAAAATCTTGTTTTTTTTATAATGATTAAGGTTCACTTTATAACTTTTTATTGTAATAAACAGGTATAAACTTGTTTTTTTTCTTTATTAAGTGTCTTTTTATGTGTGTTAAATGTGCAGACTTAACTAATTACCTAAGCATATTGATAACTTAAGTATCTCTATTTCGACATGTACATATATACAAAAAAACTCTACTACTGTTTTTGATGTTTAATAAAAATTTAGGCTTTTTTAAAAACTCTCTCACTTTTGTTTGTTGTAGTATATAATTACTTTTTTATATGTTATGTACATAAGATCAATATAACTTTAAAAATCTTTTATTTCTTATTTTAGAAAATTGGAAAAGATATAAAAAAAATAATTAATTTGCAAGCGATAGGATTTGCAACTCTTGCATTGTACTTTAGAAGCTCAGCGAGCTAACCACTTCAGCCATTAAGGCACATTAATCTTCCAATTTTTAACACAATTTGATAAATTAAAGACGAAATATTTTTATAAAATGGTAAATAAATGCTATAAATCAAAATTAAGGAGATGTTGCCGCAATGCAATTTTCAAGCAAAAGTAAAATTGAAAAACCTGATATATATTTTAACATTACATATTTTGAAGTTTATAAAGTTAGATACTTGCATTGATTCACAAAAGTGCTGTGATTCTTTCTTGCCATTAACTAGAGTGTATTGGCTGCCGTGAGTTCTGTGTAAACAACCCAAACAAGTAAGGGCAGCAGCAACAAGTTCAGTTTTAAAACATTATAGGATTCATGAGTGGTTAGAATAAAAATTTTCAGTGTAATCAGGCTTTAAAATCTTCAACCTTTAAAAAGTTGTTAGTTTTTAATTTTTAAAAAAAGTTTTTTTTTCATTTCTCATTATTGTATAAAACCTATATAAAAAGTATATTAAATCCTATTGAAATTAAATCCTAGATAAAACAACTGGTAAAAAATTGCCATTTACCGTTAACTGTTTAAAAAATGCCATTTGAAGCTACACTCAAATTAAATTATTTTATTTTTATTCTGTAAAAATTCCTACTCCCCAATTATTAAGACCCCCTCGTTTATTAGATCTAGGCTAAAGTCAATTGTTTAATTCTTTAAATCTCAGCTCATTGTACTTCAAAACAATGTAATAGATTTTGTTTTAAGTATTGAAATTAATTAAATAGAAAGTATAAAATAAATTAATGTCTTTTGTAGAGGCAGAAAGACAGTTATTTCATTTAATAATAAATAGTATCTCAATAAATTGCAGAGTAAAAAGTAAAACTTTAGTTTTTGTTAAGAAAGATTATTATCTTTTTATATTATTTTAAATTACCCAAAACAAGTTATAAATGTAACAAAAATGATGTTCCCATCTTTTAGCTCTTTTTAATTGCAATTCTTTTTATAAAGAGAAAAACTGATGGAAAAAGTAACGTTTTTAATAAGAAATCAATATCTAAGCAACCAGCTAAAAAAGAAAAAGTTTTACTTCTTTCTAGTGGGTGTTTTGCCTAAAAGTAAAGATTTTATTTTTTCTAAGAAAAAAGTAAAACTTTGAAACAAAGATTTAAAAGTCTACTTTATTCCAGCCAATCAGTGTTGATCGGTAACCTTTTAAAATTTATTTGTCAGCACTGATAAATAAATTATTTCCATTTATGTTTGCTTACATGACATCATCAACTGAGGTTTTGGGTTTATTATAATACCATTTTTACCTTAATCCACAGAAACTATATATATATATATATATACAGGCTTGGACGGGAATGGCGTGCGATCGGACGCTGTGTTTGACCACGCACATAATAACAATGTTTTGACAATAAAACCACGGTTGCTTTGATGTTTTAACTAATAAATACGTTTTTTTCGGCCTATGGGAAATGCGTTAAAAAAACCAAACTAAATTAAATTATAGAGAACAATTTAAAAAATATGTATTTTTTTTTTTTTACATTTTTCTAACAAAAGAAGAGAAAAGAAAACTAAAACTGTAAAAGTACAAACTCAAAGCGACAATTATTTTAAGTTACGTTAGTTAACGTTAGAAATAAATGACTTTTATCTTTTGTTACTTTATTTTTTGCAAACAAGTTAAACTATGGAATCGCTTCATTGCTACAACGTTTAGGTCTTTTGTTGATGTCAGGCTGAGCGTTAATACATTTTTCCAGCAAGAGTTCAGTCGTAGCTAGACCGCTGAATAAACGATCTAAAAGCGTCAGAATTCGGCTGTTATACCTTGATATATATTTTTTTAATCAAGTCCGTTGGTTTATTGATCAATAAACCTTATATTATAAATTTATATTTCTTCTTAGTTGCATTTTTTGAATCCGATAAATTTTGTTATGTATCGCAATAATAATTATTTTATAACATTTTTCTTAATTTAAATTTTGTTTAACAATTAATTCGTCACTTTATTTATAAGTGCTTCACACTATAATTTTTAAGTTTTTTAATAAAGTTTCAAACTTTTTGATGTCGTAATTTAAAGTAATAAATAAAATATTCGTTTAAAAGATTCATAAACATCGCAAGACAAAAAAAAAATACTTTTTAACTTTTACATTTATCCATAGTCATAATATCAGATATGTATATTATGACTATGATTTATCCATAGTCATAATATCAGACAGTATATTATGACTATGATTTATCATACACTTTTATCATAAGCACTAATCATGCAAATCGTTAGTTCTCTCTCGCGGAGATTCTCATTAAACATAAGGGCGTAAACATTAGACGTTACTCTTTAAAATCTTTGCGCAAGAGAGCCAATGCTTTTAACCTAAAAGCATTGGTTCTCATGCGCAAAGATTTTAAAGAGTAACGTCTAATGTTTACCTGGTTATGTTTAATGAAATCTCCGCGAAGGAGAACTATTTATTTGACAAGGAATTAGTTCAACTTAGCGTGACGGTAGACTTTGTGGATGGAAAAAAAATGTTACAAATAACATTTTTAAATATTTTTATTAAAAAGTGTCTAATTAAAATAATCGTTACAAGCATTTAGTAGATTTATTTTAAAGCGTTTCGCATGTCAAGTTTTAAAAAAAATTTATTAATTCCTACCGTTTATCAGAAACAAAATATTTCGTTTAAAAGATTTAATATAAAAACATGGAAAGGTATATTCTAACGTTTACATTTAAAAAAAAAAAACATGCTTATAAATATAATAATACAAAAAAACTTAGATATTCTTTGGTTATATAAACGAAATGAAACTAATCCTTAGAAGTAATTTTCACTTTGTTTAAATGCCTTCACATAATATACAAACTTAAGCAAAGATGATCTTTGTGAATGAATAATCTCAAAACGTTTTGAACGAAGATCTTAAAGATTGACGTTCATAAAGTTTCGAGCTTATTCATTCCTTTCGTAATAAAAATTCGCTCAAAAAATAATCTTTGAAAAACAAAATATTCGTTTGAAAGATTTAAAATAAAAACATAAAAAAATACTTTTAAGCGTTAGAAAACAAACTTAAATAAAAGTTTCATATATGTTTTCGTAATAATAATTTGTTTATTTTAATTAATCTTTTGAAGTAATTTGTTATTTTGTTTAAAGGTTTTCACACAATATAAAAACTTTGAAAAAGATCAACGATTAAAAGTTATTTCGTAAATTTTACTAGTTTCTTTCGACGCATTTCTGAAGCGTTTTATTTGTCAAGGCAATCGTGGTTGAATTGTCAAAAAAAATTATTGTT